TGATCGCCGCCAGCTTGGCGAGGCTTGTGGCGACGCCCGTCATTCCCTCGGTAGCGGCCGTGAGGACTTGCAGCCTTTTTCGTTTGTTCTCGACCTCCTCGGACGCTCTCTTCGCATTCGCCTTGTCAGCCTCTGCTCGGGCTGCCTTCTTCTCCTGCTCCGCTCTGAACGCCGCCGCTTTGCGACGGCTCACGGGGTCACCGTTCGGACAGGCTCGATCCAGAGCCGGCTTGCTCGCGACGGTGGAGTCCTCGTGTACGACCGCGTCCCCCTTTTCGTTCTTGGATCGGGTCGGGGGGCCGTCGGAGAGCTCGAGGTACTTCCATTCGGCGGGGCACCTGTCGCTTCGCCCCCACGCCCCCGCCATGAGGATATACGGGTAGCAGTAGTGACTCGGCACCTCCACCTCCTCTTGGAGGTCCTCTCCCGGCTTGGACGCCGGACGCTCTTCCCTCTCGCGCCGCGCGTTGGCAACGGCGATGGCGGCCAGGTCCATGACCGTGTCCCCCGTCGTCACCGGCGCACCATCATCGGCGGCCGTCGCCGCCCCCTGCGTACCAGCACGCGCTTGACGGAGGGCGGCGCCAGCTGCCGGAGTCAACTGCCTCTCTCGGGTCCCAGCGCCAGAAACCGGAGACGCGCCTTCCGCCCCCGCTCCGGTCCCATCCCCAGAAGCCGGAGCCGCGCCCTCTGCTCTCGCCCCCGGTCCGCCCCGCCCGCTGCTCCCAGCCCGCGCGGCGAAATACTCGCCCTGTTGCCAATCAGGCTTAGAAGGCGCCTCCACGCCCATGGACTCCATGTACATGGCGAAAGAACGTCGTCCATGACTCGTTGCTCGGTTTCACCGGAAGGCAGGTGCACGTCCTGCACCTCGTTCCTGTACACAAGAAGAAAGCGAGGTACGCGATGTGTGAGTTTAGTACGTCGGCAAGGGTCCCATCGGGCTCGCCCAGTCTCGGCCATCCTCTGCGGTCTGTTGTGGACTACCCAGCATTATTCGATAGAGGCGAAATCAACATCGGCCAGCGTACGTGTTCAAAATCACACAAGAGGCAAGGCATACAATCAGCAGACCCCCCATCAACGAGTGCGACCTCTGTTAGCGTTAACACATCAGCAGCAGCCCTCGCCCACGTGTGTACACATGCAAGCACGCGCTCATGTCCTATGTCCTGATCGGGCTGGGGAAACACATGCAGCATCCACACACATGCGTACCGAATTTGACTTCATTTTACCACACCCACCAACGGGTCAAGTTGTGTTAAATTGGTCAAGCACCCTCGAAGCAGTTACACAGCAGTGCTTACAACTGTCTCATGGTAAAAGCACCAGAAAACAAATCGAGTCATGCGCAGCTGTCATCCGTACGCAAGGAAGTATGCACAAGATGCCGAAAACCCTTAGCAGGATGCAGCGCACTTCATGCGACTCGCCGAGTATCTCACGGCGCTTCGCGCTTGGTGATGTGAGAGCCTGGTCCGGTGAGAACCCGGCGTGCTCCGCCCCGACTTTGTAGGGACGCGAGGTCAATGGTCTAACGACTACGGCACGCACGACTATGAGTACACCCCCCACCAACGGGTCAAGCATTATAACGCCGAACCAACCGCGGGAGTCCTCGACCACGTTATTTTTGTATCTGATCGGAGTCAGGACAGCACGCAAATCACACGCACGCACACACCCGCACTCGTTATTCTTTGATCGCGGCGTGGACAGCACGCCAGTCACACACACGGACACTGTCGCACGCACTCGCAGAAAATTGCCGTAGCCCAACACCAGCAGCCCTCGTCCACCTATGTGTATGCAGCAATCACGCGGGTCGTAGATATATGTGTCCTGCTTGGCGTGTGTATAGCACACAATTCACAACCACGCTACATCTACATTATTTACCAGCAGCAACGAAGAATCTGTAATGCTAACCACTCAGGGGGAAGGGTCTGCTGAGAGCAACAACGCCTGTGTGCTACACAAGCTGGTGCACTTACTTGCTGAACCAGAGCGAAGGGCCCTTGGTAAACTCCTTCTTGATGGTCGTGAACCTACCCCAAGCCGTCCCGGGACTTTGCATGAACGTCTTCGGGGGCGCCGAGGGGGGCGCCCCCCTCTTAGCTCTCCCGGCTGCGATGGTGCATTCAACGGGTTTTAGGGGGAGGTACATCAGAGGCTGTGCCGTTTGAACAGAACGGTACGATTGTAACACAGAATCAGGTAAAACGGCACCTTACGGCGCTGCTATTTGGCTCCTGCTGTTGCCACGACCGTTTGTTACAATGGTGCTGCTGCAGCATAGGCCCACTAACTATTTTGGGTCTACTGCTGTCTGCTTCGTTGGCTGAGGCCTGCTTATAGTGCTGCCACCTCAACTGCTGCTGATCTGTCACGTACCTTACACGCTCAATCAAGCAGGGGACCCTAAACTGCCCATGAACTACCCTGACGCCACCATGCATGCTAGCATTATTTGTTATTTTTCCAAGCTACAGTATTTTCCTTTGAGGCCATCAATCACCCTTATAGCCATGTTCAATCGCGGTTGCGCTGGACCGGCACTAGTCCCAAACGTGGAACCACTGCTGTACGTAGTGCCATTTTGTAGATTTCTGTACAGTCAGGGAAAAATGGCTTTTACAGTGCCACCGGCGTGTGCTTTCCTGCTGCTGCCACCACAGCTCTACAGCAGTAGTGCTGTTGCAGCTACCGCTGCTGCTGCACGGGTCTACTGCATTATGTACCAAGTACATGTTGACATATCACGCCGTCCAGGGACGACAGCTACTCGAACAAATGTTACATGTTTCAAGGATGGTTGCGGTGGTACGGCGTCCCACAGCAGTACATGTGTGTACCTATCAACATATTTACGTGTGTACTTCGCTGCTGTGTGCCGTATTACTTTCCCCGTGTCGTGTCTATTTTTTAAAATGTACGTTGGCCTTTCAAGCGTTTTGTTCTGGACCTGTACACGGGAGTGCGCGAGTTCGCCGTCCAAACTGCTGTGCACGGGCTAACCCTCTCCAATACACAGAATCACTGCTGTTGTGGGCAGTCAGCAATCCATCGTGATCGTCTACCCCAACTTTACACGCGTCACGCACCTCCGAGCGTGGTGAAGTAGTCTAGAGCTTAGTCTCCCACCCGGCCGGGAAGCGCAGCGGGTTGTCGGACTCCGCGGACTCCGCGATAGCTCGGTGGCACAACTTTATCCAGCCAGGAAGCGCGATTTCCTGGTAGCACCTCGACACGTCTCTTGTCACGAACTTCTTTGCTGTTCTTCTCCGCCTCCTTGACGGCGAGACAAGCCCATGCTATAGGGAAGCACTGCAGGGCTTTCTGGGACTGCTGGCCGAGAGGTGTACCTCCATACGTAGCGCAGAAGATCCCAAAGGAATCCATGAGGTCATTCGTGAGTTCTACTGGCAGTGCCGGCGCTCTGTTGGTTACCTCTAGGTCGAGTGCCATGCTGGTTCGTGTGACGCACTGGGCATTAGTTGCGTGGTCAAGCGTTTGTTTGCCTGTTGCGCGGCCCTCCGTGGCGTGGTGCAGCCGCACAGATGGCGAGCCCGAGGGCTGCGTGTATGTGTCGGGAGGGGTAGCCTGTTTTTTTGAATTTGAACCAACCCGCCTCCGCATTCCAACAGTCCCGTGCACAAAACTTTCCTCGTCCCATACCAGCGTGCACCAAAAAAGTTACAGACGAGAGTTCCCGGGCAAAGTTGCATAAAAAGTTTGCAACTTTTCTTGCAACGTTTGTGAGCCATAAAAACCGGTCTTAGAAAGTACCCATTATAGCAGCCGTTTGCCGAGGCTCTTCCACATGTGGAAGTCTCGGAATTACAGCAGTATTCCCCCACACACACACACCGGTTACCGCGGTCGATGCCCATAATACACACACAGACATTGGTGCGCCGGTTAGCGCGGTCGACCCTCAATATAAACAACACAAACACGCAGCTGCACACACGGATCTACGGTAGAAACCGGCGCAAGAATGTATGAATGTCCGTACGCAGGCATTGCGGAATGCACCGCTCTTGACATTATTTTGCTCTCGAACACGTTCAGATCGTATGAAAACCCCGGAGGACGTTTGGCCATCCCCCGAGACTTTTCTTCCCGCGGGGTTGGCGGTTGGCAAGCAAAGTGAAACATCTGAGGATTTGAGGATCAAACCACGACCCCCGGGGACGTGTGTTGGAATGATTCCACCCCCCTCGCCGATGCTGATACCCCCCTCTCCAAATCTCCTGCTGCCCCGTACCCTGCGAGATTTCGTCCGTCAGGCGCATTGGTAATGTGCGCCGTCCAAAGCCAAGAAAACATCTTTCCCACCCCAGTTGACTCGGGAATGAATGTTGTAAATACTTTTGTTGTGGCGGTATTGTTGTTTCATTTTTCTGAGGTCAGGCATCGCTCACTCTGGTTCAGGCGGTGAGAAATACTACTTAACCCGTTCGAAGGGCTATCCCACCAGACTCTCAGCCAGTAAGCCCGTAAGAGCCATTTGTGGGTGTACCCTATCGCGTGCGGGACCACAAAGACCACTGATCACACAGGCCCCGGGCAATATGGCTTTCCCCCCCCGTGGCGCTTTGTTAGCTTTCTCTGGAACATTAATATTCTCCCATCCGAAAGACCCGCCTGGAGTGCAATGTACCCAAGTCGTGCTCGTCCAAGCAGGATTGCAGAATTCGGGAACGTTACCGTGGCTAACCCCCGCTGTTGAAGCGTTGTCTCGCGATAGCATACGAGCAAATGGGCACATGACACGGGGTGATCCCCTGCGTGCGAGGCGGGGACTGAGGGTTTGTAGGCCTCTGTCGCTCACATGCTGCTTCCGTCGCTGGCAGTTTTGCTTATCCTGTGAGATCTGGCCTTTGTTACCCGACCCCAGCCCACACAGAGCAGCAGCAGAAGTTTTTGTGGTAAACGCCCTCTTCAAGGTCCCTCGATTGTTCCGTTTGTCCCGATTTTGTTGCCGCAGGCAGATGTCCTCAACGGTGTTGAGAGCGGTGTTTACCGAATCCTGGCGGTACGCGGGATGGACGACCGCCCAAGAGTCCGCCGCCGGCGGCGTTGTCGGTGGGGACGGAAACCTCGTCTTGTGTGGCAAGAGCAATGGGCTCGCGTTCAACCTCGACGATGACACCGCCACGTCGACGTCCAGCGCTGACTTCTCGGCTGTCAAGCTGGACGGGGATTCGGGCGAGACGCTGTGGACGTGGGTGGACTCGTCCTTGCAGGGAGCGGATTGGATGACATCGGCGGGCGCTGATAGCGCGAGCAATGTAAGAGGGAGAGAGGGGGGGAGGGAGGGAGAGAGAGAGAGGCCGCCCATCAAGCCCGAAGCCCAGGCAATGCCTGTGATCTACTACCCTCGTGCTGCTGTATGTTAACGGAGACAACAAAAAATTGAAGGTCAAGGTGCTGTTTGTATGTTTCCCAAGCCTCCCACTAATTTCAAGAATTCGCGTGGCCGGATCCCCCGCCGGCGTCTCCACCTGTCCATTCGCTCGCCCCTTATCAGGTGATCCTAGGAGGTTTCACCAATGGCGAATGGGGTACTTCCAATCTGGACGGTCTTCGAGACATCGCCGCCGTAAAGCTCGACGGCGAAGCGGGTACAGAGGTGTGGCGGTACCAAGCCGCGGCGTCGACGTCCTCGTTCGGAGGGTACGGTGTTAGCTACGTGCTCGGGGTCGCTGTAGACAGCACTGACCACCCGGTGTTGGTCGGGACGACGTACAACAACTTGGTGGACGGCGTGGGCGTCCCGGGAGACTGGGACTTCTTCGCGATCAAGCTCGACGGGATGACGGGGGGCGAGCTGTGGAGAGTGCAGGGAGGGGTCGCGTTCACTCGGGAGGGTCTTCTGGGCGCGAAGGTGATGAAGAAGAAACACCGATGTCTGTTCCACTCCTGCCACACGTGCACTCTAATCCAAGCCTTACGATTGTTGTTGCTCACTGGATGTGTCATTTTGGAAGTGTGCCATGAAAGCACAGCCTGCATGAAAACCACGTCTACACTGTACGAATTGGTATCACCAACACTCGAAAGGGTTCGTTTTTCATTCTTTCAATCCCACAGAGAGGTAATATCCCCGATTACGAGCAAGGTACCGCAGGTGCAGACGCCACAACTGGGCGCCCAAAGGGATGCCACGCATGATACCTCAACCTTCGTTCCCCCACTGGTCCGGCGACCACTCGTCCGCGACAGGTGGATTCGTCAGGGGATCTGGTGGCGGCTGGCTACGCCGCAAACGAAGACGCGAGCGAGCTCAACTTTCTCGTCGTAAAGCTGAGCGGGTCTGATGGCTCCGTGCTGTGGGAGTACGCGCCGTCTGCGGCTAGCGGTGGCGTTTTTCACTCCGTGGACCTGGACGACAGGAACCACGTGTACGTCGCTGGAGGCGAGGGCGCCCCGAACTTCCAGGGAAAGGTCGGGACAACGGCCGTGGTTCTCAAGCTTGACGGGGAGTCCGGCGTGGTGAGTTTTCTCTTGTCTCTCTCTCTCCCTATTTCTCTCCCTCTCTCTCTCTGCCCACGTCTGGCAGATGTGTTGTGAAAGCGGGGCAGCCCTGGTGTAGAGGCCATGTTTGAAGCCTCGTTCTGCAGGATGTATTTACCAAATTGAAACCTCTTCACTCATGTGTGTCGAATTGGACCTCGGAATCGGTGGTATGTAGGGGGGGCGGGGATCGCGCATGGGCATGAGTAGGGATTGTGTGCTTGCTACAAAATGAGTTGCATATTTCATGAAGGGGAACCGTTCTCGACATAATTGGAGAGATACGACCCTTCATAACGATCACCTCTGCGTCATCCCCTAATGATTCTTCTCTGTTTGCGAGTCGATTCACATCTTCTCGACCTTCTGTGAAATTTTCACGGGTGCGCTTCGTCCTTCACGTCATCCTAGTGTCGGCAAGCTCGAAAAATCTTTCTCTGCGGGTCTTCCACCAGTTCTTCCGATTGGCATCGCTTGTTTTAGTGGGTGGCGGGGTTCCACCCGGACCTTAGGCCACTAGAGCCAGATGTGTCGCTGCCACGTCAATGTAAAAGGAGGGATTCGTCCTCAACAGACACGGCGAAGTGACCCTCTTAATAGGTTGCATCCACATTTTTCTCTCGCTCAAGTAGCCTAACTGCCATACGGCCTCGCCTGCCTGACTGAGCTCCGACCCGGGTTGCGCACAAGGTGACCTCTGCATGCTCGCCTTTGCGAGAAAATGCTCATGCATGTGTTATAATGCCAGGGTACAGAGGGAAGATGCTTCCCAGAATGACTAATTTCCAACGGCTTACCAATATTGTTGTCGTCATGAATTGCTTGAACCAAGGGCTAGATATTCATCACCACCCTTCTCCCTCGACGCGATTTCGCCTCGACAGGAGAGGTGGTCCTACCGGGGGACAGGCGGGGACGGGATAATGCTTAACAGCGTCGCGGCGGACCCGATCACCGGCTGGGTCGTTGGCGCCGGAGGAGCTCAGGGCAACTGGGTCGAAGGAGCAAGCGTGGGCGGCTTCGATTACGCCGCCGTCGTCCTCGACGGGGACTCTGGAGCCGAGCTCACCAGATGGCAAGACGGGACCTTGGGCGACGACGTCTTGGAGTTCGTTGAGTTCGACATCAGCGGGGAGTTTTTCCTGGGGGGCTTCTCGACGGCGGCCTGGGTGGGCGGGACCGGGGACGACGAGGACGTCGTGGCCATGAAATTCGAGCGCCTGGCATCCACCGTGGCTCGCACGGACGCTCCGTCGTCGGCGCCGACCCCCAGCCCCACCGCCGGGCCCACCTATTCCCCCTCGCCCCCGCCCACGCTTCCGCCGTCACTTCCACCCACGATACCACCGTCACCTCTGCCCACCGCACCACTTGTGCCTTCGCTATCGCCTACGCGTGGGTCGACTGCGGCACCCGCGACCGCTGTTCCCCCGTTCGCAGAAACACCATCTCCTTCGGCGGCGGCGCGAGATGCCACGCTGCTCACCGCGGCCCCCGCCGTTGCATCTGCGGAGGCAGTTGACGGGTCCGGGTCGTCGGAGGCGCTCGAAAATTGGGCCGTCGGGACGATCGTTGCTGGGGGTGGGCTGTTTCTCGCGCTGCTGGCGCTATGTGAGTGACCGCGCGAGAGAAAAAGCGCACACCCCTGGTGTATATTAGTAGCATTACCCACCAGGCGCTACGGCAGCCACCCTCGTTGTGGCTGCTGGACGGTATTTTTCGTTGCCGAACGCCATCGTTGCCGAATACCATCATCGCTCGGGCGTACCCATGTCCTTGCCGGTGACAGGGACCAGACTGGCAGAACGAAGTTCACAATCCCAGAGTTGCTTCGTGGCAATCTCGATGTTGTAATCCCAGTGCTCCACTGAAGATTCCGATCCAGACACCATTGAGATGACTAGCAATGGTCAGACCTTCGTTTTGGTAACATCGTAAATTTGGCTCGCATCGAAGAGATTCCGCATGCGCGAGTCACATCGTTTCACACGTTTCACCTGCTTGTGATGCCTGACGACTGCTGCTTTTGTGCGACGTACGGCTGTGTGCCACGTTTGGTACCGGCTAGCCTTTGTAGCCAGTTGCTCGCCGCCCTCGCGCTTGCAAATAACTCTGGGTCGTATCAATTCCTGTATCACGTTTGATGTCAAACTTGAGCAACGCATCTCTCTGCCAAATGTTGCACGTGTTGCGATCAGGCTTGTGTTCAGTACGGCGAAGAGCGAAAGCCAAGATGGCGGAGATCGCTGCTGCCCATGCGAAAGGTGTGTGGCCTGCGCTTGTTGTGCCGCGTTGTTACAACCAACGCTCTCCGAAACGTCCACGACGTATCGAGGGCAGGCGTTCATTTCCGTGTTTGGCTGCGCCCGCTTGTGCAAGGCATGTCGAATCGTGTTGCACTCCCCCGCGGGTGAAATAGGTTCACGTGATGACCTCCATTCTGCATAGTACACGCTCAGAAAGTCTTCAGAGGCGACCAAGGGCTGGGTCCGGCGCTTTCTGTCTTTTCACGTGTCAGTGGTGGAAATATGGCGACGGCCTCTCTCTGAGCTGCACCGCGCTGCTGTCGGTCTTGACAATGGCGGGTCTTAAGTTAGTGTTGCTGTCCTTGCCCTTTCTTGGTTCCACCGGTGGCAACCTCTTCCAACCCATCCTTTCCGTCCTGTTTGTGTTCCCGTTTCTCCTTCGTCCAGCCCTACAGGTTCTGCCCGTACCGAGTACCAAGCCACAGCGCATGGTTTTCGTCGACGTGTACCCCGAAGAGGACGAAGACGCGAAATTTACCTCGCGGGATGAGGAGGGGGCTGAGTTAGGGGGGACCAAGTTGGTGGGATCTAATTTAGTGAGTGTCAAGAAGGTGGGAGACAATCTGTCATGATAAGGGATGGCGTTGTTGCAGTGCCCCACATGGTACCGTAGCGACAGACGTGATATCATAGCAAGCAGTGAGGGGTGTGTGTTTGCCCTCACCCCCTGCTCATATTGGTAGTGGAAAGAGACGATCTGGCCACGGGTTGTGGGAGACGAGACAGAATTGCTGTAGGAGTTTTTTTCAAAAGGATGTAAACTGTGTAGAAGGTGCCACTGCGTAGAGAATTTCCAAATGTTCGGGAAGTTTGTCTAATTTTGTGAATAAGTAAACCATATACCACCGCAGCTCCCAACGGTGGTTCGTAAGTGTGGCTTTATGGTTAAAAAGTGTGGCAAGTAACGCAAAACCTGGTTGTTTGCTACCCCCCCCCATGCCGATTACATGATTCTTGGCTTCCTTCAACGTTTCAGCTGCCCTTGGGCTTCGCATGTTCCGTATACCGTATATGACACAAGATAACACACCCCCTGGACCGATTTTCAAAGCTCGATTACTCCACGACGAAGAGGATGCATAAACAAAACGATACATTTTCGAAAAATTCTCGACGAGACGGTTTCAACGCCGCCGTTTTCGGCGCTGTGCCTGTTCCTGCAGTTAAGAAATCGATCTTCGAAAATTGGTCAAGGGGGTGTGTTATCTTGTTTCATAAACGGTAGTCGTTCCTGCCCGTAGCACAGAGCAAGATATTTTGTACCGGCTGTTTCCGTCCTTGTTCGACATGCGATTCGTGGCGGCGTGTAATTTGGTTCCAAACTATAGCTGTGTCGATCCGAAAACAATCGACCTGGCTGGAAACCTGATCGCTGACGTGTATAGTTCTTTTGCATGTTTTTACTTCGGTAGATTCGTTTGTTGAGTGAGACGTTTGTCCAGGCGGGATGTGAAAAGGTTTGGTTTCTAGTCGGAAGGTGTGCGTGCCCAACCGTCGGTATATAATTCCGGCAGAGAGGGAAGTATAGTGGGGATAGGGTATTCCCCGGACCTGGCAACACGTGGCAAGGAGATGTTTGGCACCACGCTACTCCATTGGCACCGAGGCACCTCATGAACACTTTCATTTAGAAACTCTTAGCTGTCCCCCCGTTCTCTATGGTATCAAGTCGCTACCAGTGACTGTATATTTTGGTACCATGTGCTTTGTTTATCGCGCCACTGTGACAGGGTCATTGCAGTACTGTTCGTAGCGGTTTGCCCTCGAGGCCGAGGAATGTAGATGGAGCAAATTTGCAGGAAGGATCCTAGATTTGTGCAATATTATAGCTACTTTAGTGTCCAGCTTTGCGTAATTCTCGGTGGGTGTATCGAGCTTCTTATGGTTCATTGAGGAGCACATCGGCACTTGGCAAGGGCGTGAGGTCGTAGAATTTTGCAGCGGAGACGCCCCTTCGGTATGGTACTTTCTACAGCAGTAGTGGTGAAAACGACGGACGACGACGACCATGACTTCTGTAATAATGAACATATGATGAACTACTGTACTGCTGTACCAATCAGCTGATACTTTTGGAAGTTGTAGTAGTCTAGTCTCTTCAGGGTAAATCACAAGAAGTACCACGTGGAGCCGTGCTATCGGCACAGCAGAAGTTGAGTGCATGTCATGTATTAGGCAAAATAGCTCGAGAGCCGGCGGTTGTGACGTTTCACGTTCCCAAGCATGCTCAACAGCTCGTTTAAGCGTGTAAGCTGACGTGTTTGACTCGAAGAGCCCAGGGAACCTCTGAGCGAACCTTACCAACAACAAGAAATTTTAATATTCATATAGATAGGCAATCCTCTCCACCGATGTTCCATCGAGGAGTAAGAGTGCAGCTGCACGAGCCCGCGCGAGAGAACGGCCCTTGTGATGTTAGTATACCCATGAATGTGTGTTGAAGATGATGGTATCACTTGTATTTAGGGCAGCAGACAAGATCAGGACGCGGTGGAAGAGAGAGAGTGCCCCGGCACAGCAAGCACTCCCGCAGGTCAGAGCCCCGTGGATCAACCATGAAACCAACCCAGGGGGGGGGG